GAAGGGAGGCACACGTGGCTAGGACACAGCGCGATGCTTTAGACAAGCTGCTGTGTGCTTACCTTCCAGAAGATGGGGTTTTCTTATTTCTGCTTCCCAGATGGGGAAGTGGTGGTCTGGGAAGGGGACGTTTCTAAAGCAAAGGCTCCCCACTGTGTCGGGTGGATGGGGATGCAGTCTGAGGGCTGGGGAGCTGCGGCTGCACTGGTGGAACTGGGTGAGAAGACCTGTATTTGTCCTCAGGCGTGGGCCCCTGGGAAAGGGGTCTCCCCGAGTCCATGTTCCCCCATGGTGAATATCGCCCATGGACTAGAGGATGTCATGTCTCCCCGAGAACAGTCACTTGGCTCAGCCCCTTGCCGAGCACTGGGTTCCCAGAATGGTGTTGCTGCGCAATGGGCTGAGGAGCCGGAAAATGCTCATGCTCCATCCTCAGTGACTGTCCCTTCCCCGCTGCCCCCCTGACTGTGTGGCTCTTCCCAAACTTCCTGGGGCCCCTGTGCCCTGTGTGAAGCCCCACAGCTGATGGGGCAGGGACTGGGTTGCTGTGAGCAGCCCTTGACCGGAGCCTCCTATGTGGCCCTCTGGCTTTGCTGACTGTGTGCACGCCTGAGTCCACCTCAGGACCCAGCCTCTTGGGGAATCACGCCTGTGGCTGCAGTTGCAGCTGCCTCCCAGGCTCCTGTCTCCTGGGTCAGCGCCTGCTAAGATGCTCCCTGGTGTGTGTCCCTGCATGTGGCCCGTCCAGGGACGAATGCCATTGTGGTTCTGTCCAGCCTGGTCCTGGGATTGTCTCCACAGGGTTTTTGTTAGACAAACAAGGACGGGATTGTTCCTGGAAGCAGGGCAGGTGTGGCCCAGTGGGGCCCTCCTGAGAGGCCTCCCAGGATGTCCCCGCCCTGGCCACAGGACAGAGCCACTCCTGGAGGGAGCTGAGGTGAAGCCCAGGCCAGGTCCTGGGGAGCCGGTTCCTGTGGTGGGACAGAGAGGCTCTCTGCTCCCTCTGCCCCTCCCCCCAGAGAGGTGGCCCAGGAGGCTAGTGGGTGGAGTGAGGTGCAGACTGGGCACTGGGTGGGTCGTGTGGGAGCTGAGAGGACAGTCACAGGGGCAGGTGGCCTGTGTGGGGGCTGAGAGGACAGTCACAGGGGCAGGTGGCCTGTGCCGCAGCTTCCTCGTCAGTCTACGGGGGAGGATGTGTGGGGCTCAAGTCAATATGTGTGAAGTGCTTAGAACAGCGCCAGGCAGGGCAGAAGCACTTGGTCAACATTTCGTCATTGTGACCTTGGGCAAGTGGTTAACTTCCTGAAGCCTTGCCCGCCTGCTCCCAAGGTTGCTTAGATTGAGGGAGATCACAGCTGTGAAGTGCCCAGCAGTGTGCCTGGCACATGGCTGAGCTGGATAAGTCACTTTCTTGTTAGGTGATCGAGACCTGTGGCGTGAGATACACCTTCCCATGCTGTGAGGAGCTGGCCATTCTGACTGTGTCTCTGGTGCAAGCTAGAGCCTCCCCATCTCTGGCCTGTGGCCACGCCAACCTCATCCCCACCTCTGGCTCTGGAGGGTCAGGCCCCTCCCTCACCACTGGGCACTGGGTGGAGTGAGGTGCGGACTGCAGAGGCTCCTGGGTGTGGGCTTGTTGGATTTTTCCAGCACAGGAGCATGGGGGTGAATGCCCAGGGCTGTTAGCCCTCCCTCCCGGTCCAGGAGGCACACCTCTGCCCACCCTCTGTGTCCTTGCAGACCCTCCAGCTCGCTTCCTCCCCAAAGCCCCCCGACCCACCAGTACTGCTGTGGTCCTGCTTCCCTGCCTGTGCTCAGGAGGGGGGAGAGCCGTTCCCTGACCCCCTTTCCCCACCACTCAAAGCTGCTCCCTTTCTCCCCTGGGGCTCAGAGAAGCTAACAGATCCCCAAGACAGTGGCCACCTCTCCTCCCTCCACCCAGGGCCCTGCTCTCCAGCACTGGGTTTTCCCTCCCGACCTGAGGGCCCCCACCACCCATCTCATTCAGCCTGTGTCTCCCTGGAAGACAGTTCTCTCCGCGGCAGGGATCCCCTGACCACTGGGAGGGACTGCGCCTGCTGGTCAGCACTGCTGAGGGGCTCTGGAGGGGGCTGCAGGGGGCCGAGGGAAGAAGGGTTCTTCAGGCACGCAGGTGCGAGAGGACCCCCACAGTGGTCCCGGGCTCCCCCTCACCCTTCAGTTTTCCCAGTCACCCTTTGGCTGGCATGAGAGTGCTACGCTGTGTAGACAGAACCAAGTGATAGGGCTGCCTCCACCGAGACTGTCAGCCCCGAAGCTGAGCTGGGTCCTAATCGCCCAGCACAGAGTCCAGCCTGAAGGAGGGCCGGCTGCACGCCCCATCTCTGCGCCCAGCAGGGGAAAGTCCAACAGGACCGGCTGGAGAGGCCCGGGCGTCCTGGGGTCTGATGTCCCCTTCTGGGACGGGGCTTGGCTGCTGCTGCTGTAGGAACATCGAGGCCCTGTGAGGTGTCCACAGACTCCCTCTGTGTGAGCACTGAGCCTCCTTGTGAGCGACCCGACCCGCACATCTGCCCCTGCACACAACGGGGCCGTGTTCCCGCTGGGAGGAACCCTGGTCCTGCAGCCAGCAGTGGGTGGGACTGGAGGGCGGGCAGGCCTGACAGATGGTGCCATGCTTTAGAAAATCTTCCATGTGCCAGGCACCTTAGGGGCTGCGGTACAGCAGCGACCAGCCAGGTAGAACCACCCCCCTCGAGGTGCTGACATTAGGGTGAGGAGACGGATAACAGACAGATAAGGAAAACGTTGTTAGTGGGTGCTGAGTACATGGAGACTTAAGTAGGGTGGCATCAGGAAGGTGACAAGGTGAGCAGACACCCAAAAGGGGGCAGGGGCTCTTTCTGGGGGTCCAGGGTCCAGCAATGAGAAGGTGCTCAGTAAAGTAAGTGGGAGGTGGGGATGTCTGACCTTACCTTGGGCCCAGCTAAGCTATGCGCTCCTCCCTGCTCCAGGAAGAACAGCCCTCCCCCTCTCCCCACCCTGCTGGGCCCCAGCCAGGCCCAAGCCAGCCTGCTCCTTCAGGATGGGTCTCTGCTCTGCTCTTAGCTGCTGGCCTTGAGGAGAAAGGGGGGGGGGCCTGCAGGAGGGAGAGGGGTTCCCCCGCAGCCCTTCCTGGGGCCCACCCGGGACGTGGGGTGGAGTAAGCACTTGGTCCGGCTGTGGTTACATCGCTGGTCCTCAGCCTCCTCTGGGCGGCCTGCTCTGCACGGTGGCTTTAGGCTCCACGCTGCCTGGAGCCTTCTGGACCAGGTGGCAGTTGTGAGAAGAGCCAGCTCAAATGTCAGGGCAGCTGGGGGATGGGGTTACACACCCTGGAGACAGGACACGCCTGGCTTATGAGCTGGCAGCTGCTTGCTGCTGGGGGAGGCATGGCCCCACCCCCTTGCCTGGCACTGCCTCAGTGGCCCTTTCTTCCCAGCTCTGCACCT